ACAGAAACCACAAGATCTGCCGGAACAGGTAGTAAACCATCTGAATATACTTACTTGTGTACAGACACACGGAGGGCAGAAGGATGAGACTGAAATAAGGAATTACTTTGTGATTATGAACTACATTTGGCCCTTACTCTTTCCTTCTCAAGTGAGATCTGTAAGGACTTCCCTTCTGTCTGCAGCTAGAATTCTCCCCTAAGCAATTTGACTTGAAAGATTGCCTTGGAATTTCCTTCGGTTCTCTTTCTAACACTTCAGCGTTGTTGAAAAAGTCTACCATCTCACCCGGTGTGGTTCTGCTCTCGCGCAGTATCCCATCCATACATCATCACTGGTTGACAGTTGTTCTCAGCTATGCCTCTTTGACCTTCAGATTTTTGTGTACTCCCGTGGAGGTTAACACTGGCTAGAAGAAGGGCAGTCTATTTCCATATTAGCAGGGGGCACAGAGGGTGATCTGTTCTACTTGGCCATTGTGTAGAAATTTGACCTATGGAAAAGAAATAGGTTTATACTGTGCTCCAAGCCCAGGTGCCTTAAGTATACATTATTCCCTTTATGTATGATATTTTCAGTCCCTCAAATGGATTATCAGATTATTCAGAATAGTTCTTTATTTTTCATGTAAAAGGACATTATGAAGCGAGGTGCTAATAAAAAGCATGATGTCTGTAGGTAAAGCATGTGGTTTCTGTGATGGGCAATTATGGAGACTTAGCCAGACTGTGCAGCTTTCTGAGCCACAGGTTCTCCTGAAAGATGAGGATATTAATAACTTTGTTAAGAGAATCAAATGGCACAAGAAAAGTTTTCTACAATATTGGAAATGCTATTCAAATGTATATCATAGCTTCTCTTATTTTATCACTGTCAGGATCCAAAGTTAGGATAGCCCTAAAGGTGACACAGCAAATAAATCTGGAAAATAAAATGTAATGTCGCACTCTGCCTCATATATTTTAAAATTAGATATCGTGTTTCTGATCGCTAAAGATGTTACTCGAGGGTAGGTGTTTGATCTGAAATATGTCTGAGGTTAGGCTGGTATTGGAGAAGCCAACATGGGAACAAAGTTGAATGTTTCCAAAGCTTTAACGAAGGTCCATACTGGTACAGGGGGAAAGGGAAATGATAACTGAAAACTAAAGGCTGAAACATTCTGTCCAAAGCTGGGAAGGCAAAGGGAAAACTAAGAAATAATATCTAGCTGCAAAAGTTGCTATAGTCAGGCTCAGACATGATGGCATCTGGAAGAGAATTCCAAAATCATCAGAGCCAAGACCACTTCAGTCTATAACTGGACTAGGTAAGGGATGAGCACATAGGGACACAGCTTCATATTCCTTCTTTCATTTTTCTTGATACTTTCTTAGTCTAGTGACAGGAAAGGTGACTGAGGAAAATCTTTGGCAAATCCTTGCAGACTGATGCCAATTCTGCAAACATGACCAACAGCTTTATTGAAGTACTTATAAGGGCTCTGACCTGTGATGGTTCTTATTAATCAGTTTGAAAATGCAACACTAAACCCGTAGTAACTGGTTATTTTGGTTTCTCACATACCCACTTCCAGGGTATGTGTATGTTGGCAGTGGGGATGGGCACTTCCCACACCAACAAGCAATTCTCTGGGGCAGCTGGGTGTCCTATAATTCAACTCAGTTCTGGCACTATCAACTTGAAAATTCTACAAGTTCAGGGTTCCATCCTACAAAGACTGTCCTTCCTCCACCACCCCTATCACCTGTGCTTCTGACCTACTGGCTGTAGACTGGAGGTTCCAACGACCCCCTCCTTGGACTTCTGAGCCAGTTGCTCTACCTATCTTTCTGACCAACTGGCTATAAACCAGAGAGTCTCATGACCCCTTTCTCAGGTTGGAGTACTTTTCTGGAGGGACTCACAGGACTCAGAGAAACACTGTACTTACCAGAGCACAGGTTTATTGTAGGATATAACTCAGAACATCCAGATGGAAGAGATGCACAGGGCAAGGCATGTGGAGTTTCTGTGCCCTCTCCGGGCAAGCCACCCTCCCAGCATTTCCATATGTGCACCACCCCAGAAACTTTCCAAACCCGTCCTTTTGGGGCTTTAAGGAGGCTTTATTACAATGGCATAATTGATTGCATCATCGACCACTGGTGACTGAACTCAGTCTCCAGCCACCTCCCCTCCCTGGAGGACAATGGAGCGGGACCAGAAGTTCCAACCCTCCTATCACAGGGCGGCTCCTCAGGCAACCCACCCCCTCCTTAAGTGCTTTGGGGGAATCACCTTATTAACATAACATGAGGCATCTTTAGGACTCACAACACTTAGGAAATTCCAAGGGTTTTGGGAACTGTGATCCTGGAACAGTGAAAAAAAAAAAACAAATATGAAAAGAAACATATACATTTTCATATATATTTGTGTCATCTGAATAACCAAAAAAATATTTTTCTTATAAATCTTACATGGGTTAGGACTATAGTTAGCATGGCTTCCAGGAAATTAACAGTGGTGTCTGTACCATGGTCATAAGGGCCAGTTGTTTAGGTGTTCTCTAAATGTGAGTTATTGAGAAATTAATCCTTTGTTTTACCCAGTCTGTCTCCCTCTTTTTCTTTCCATACAAAAATCTAATTCTGTGAAGACTTACACTTTTTTATATACAATAATATGTATAAAAAGAAGCAATATTTAAAAGAAGACAAATGGTTAGACTAAAACATTTGTTAGTAACTTGCTTCTTTAAGGTCTTCATAAATACACACACATACACACAGAACTTACAAATACCCAAACCTAATGCTATAAAGAGCCTTAGAAATTCTTAGACTCGGCTATGGTCGAGAAAGTAACAAAAGCAAAGTAAAAGCTAGAAGGATTTTAGCATTAGAGAATCTAAAACCTAATTCAAAGTGGCTGACATGATAAGACTCACATGAAAAGAAGTTCTGAGATGAAACAGGCTAATTCAGTCACTCAGAGATATTGTCTAGGACCTACATTCTTCTAATTTTCCATGCCACTGTTTTTTAAAATATTGGCTTACCTTCTCTCATGCTGGCAACATGGGCGTAGCATTACTAAGTACCACACCAGACAGCTGTCCTAGCAAAAAGAGACCATGGTTTCCAGTGTTTTCTTTGCCAAGAGAAGAAAAGAAAAGAAAAGAAAAGAAAAGAAAAGAAAAGAAAAGAAAAGAAAAGAAAAGAAAAGAAAAAGAAACTGTTTTTAGAAATCTCCAGAAGACCCTCTCTCATGATCATAAACAACATCCTGCCTTCTTCCCTTCCTTTTCCCACTACACTGTGAACTCTGTGAGGCGGGACCTGTGGATGATTTATCTCTGTATCTCCAGGCCAAAGACCATTGTCTAGAATAAATTGATGCTCAACTGATGTCTTTTGAATAAGGTAATCCATTACATCCACTTGGCTTGATTTAATGAGCCATTTTTATTCAAATACTAAATAGTTTTAACATCTTAAAAGAAAATTAAGAGAAAGGCCTCCATCCAGAACTAATAATGATATGGCTTTTGGTGCATTTTATTTAGTATTAATTTTAAGGCAGCAAGAAAAGAAACTTGGGGGAAAATGATTATACCAAGGGTAAACAAGTCTTTTGATACTAAGTCACTTTTACCACTGCCTATTGAATATCAGGGACATGGATGAAGTGTCATATCAAGCTGAAGTTTTAGAAGGGAAAAAGGCAATAAACCTTAAGAATCTTGGGCCCCAAACTCTACTAATGGTCATTCTCTACTAATAAGGCTTGTGACCTCGGTCAAGTCAGTTAAGTAGGTCTCAGTGTCCTCTTCCAGCAAATGAGCGTAACTGTACTCTCTTTAATTGCCCACAGTCTTAAACTGATGGATAAATAACATTACTTCTGTGAAAGCATGCTGGCTCTGAAAACTGTCATTCAAATATAAAGGCTCATCTTGATTCACCATGCAGCAGGCTAATGTTGGGAATCTTATAACTTATTTTAGACGAAATATCTAGTACCCTCCAGGTGTGGTGAATTGCCGGTTCTGATACAAATGCTGTTTGAGCTTCTCTCCACAATTCAGGCAGTCCAATATTCAGTATTTAACTTCAACTTAATGGTTGCATAAACCTCTTACATCCAAGAAACATCTCTTTTTTGGCATCACCAGTCTCCAATAAAATACTCAAACATAATACCATTCAATGAAGCTTTGTTAATGAAAAGAACTATTTAAACACACACACACACACACACACACACAATGGAAGGCAACACATTACAATGACTAAAAGTGTGGGTTCTAAACTAGACTCCCTGTATAGAAAAATCCTTGATCGGGATCCCTGGGTAGCGCAGCGGTTTAGCGCCTACCTTTGGCCCAGGGCGCGATCCTGGAGACCCGGGATCAAATCCCACGTCAGGCTCCCGGTGCATGGAGCCTGCTTCTCCCTCTGCCTGTGTCTCTGCCTCTCTCTCTCTCACTGTGTGCCTATCATAAATAAATAAAAAAAAAGAAAAATCCTTGATCAAGCTACTTAATCCTTACAATCTTAGGTTTCTTTTCTTCAGCAAAATGGATATAAAAATAACAGAGCCTCTGCCACAGAGTTGTGGCCAGGATTAAATTTATGTAAAATCCTAGCATCATGTCTGGTATATGGTAAATGCTAAAGGAATTCCGATTTATTGATATTAATGTTTTTCTCAGAGGATAAGAATTGCACTTCTTTTACCATTGACCATTTAATCTGATGAAATCACAGATTAATAGGCAATATAGAAGGGTAGATCATGTGTGGTTTAACAATTAGTAACAAAATCAACCCCAATGTGATCCATATGCCATCACAAGCATCTAATACATATTACAGGTCAGCCACTACAGTGAAAAGCAGAAGCTTGTTTTATCATGGGACAACCCTCTGCAGCCACAGTTCTTCCTCAGCCTGGCCAGTTAAGCACACAATCATATCTTTCTGTTTGCTCCTGTCCTTGTTCATGCTCACCAGGTACAAAGACAGGAGACTGGCCCAGCACAAGTCGGAAATAGAGTGTTTCACCCCCAAAGGGAGTGTGGGGAATGGTGGGAGAGCAACAATGAGCAGGTAAGCAAATTGTGAGTGGCCTGAGGTGCTGTGAACTCCATGTACGCAAGCTAGAGGAACAGGTGGCTCCCTGGTCTAGGTCCTCACTCCACTGTGCACCCCATGCAGTGTGTCCAACCTGGGCCACCACTGGTTTTCTGTGTGTGTTTTATCTGCAAAACCCATGCCATCCTCATGTGAAGTGACGGGAGCCTCCTGTCCCAGATGCTGCTGTTCCCAGGGTTGTGTGCTTTGCATGTCTAAAGCCTTAATTCACACTCAGTTCTCCCATGGATTTTAACTTATTGGTCAAATGCTTCTGGAGTTTGCAAAGTGGAAGAGATTGGAGGAAATTCACATTTCAGGACTGTCTAATCAGTTGTCAAAACAAATGCAAAAGCCCAGGACTGGTTCTGAGGGAAGAACTGCAATGAGGAAAGATTCCAGCCCTGATCCCAGACAAACCTGGGAATTAATCTGACTTCTTTTCAATGTAACATCATGTAACAGCCAAGGGCAAATGCTGAGCCAGACTAAGTGAGCTGTAGAGGCAAGAGGCTTTTCCTGAACCTAAATAAGGAAAGCTAGTCCTCCTCCAGCTACCATAGCTTTGCAGCTCCTTTATTTCTCTGTGTTTGGTGGCAAACACCCTCTGTCGCTGCGCTGTGCATGTTCCTTCATATCAGGCACCCACAACTGAGCTGTGCCCAGTCACCTGGGTTATTAAGAACTATAAGCATCAACTTAGCTGTGTTGCATGAAATGAACGTGCTTTATTGCATGGGACGGTGTTTCAAGAAAAGGGCTCTGGAGATAAATACTGTCAAGATTGGCATTAAACAGTTCCAGAATGCTGGAGAAGCCTTCCGTTGGGGAATCATTCACCATGAACTAACTCTCCACTTCTACTTGGTTGTGGCATTTCCCCATCTATCTGTGGTACAAAGTGTAGAAGGGAAACTCCTACAAATCAGCCTGGGTGAAAGGAAAGGGGAAGTGCAGAAAGTATAGTGTGTACCTATGTGTGTGCATGTGCTGAAAGCAGAGCTTGAGATCCAGCTGCATAGAAAGAAGATAATTCTATTGAATCCTGTTGAACTTTCACCCCAAACATTGTATTTGCTTCCTCTGTAGTAGGCTCCTTCTGGTTTTCAAAGTAATATCTAACTTTTTCCAAGGACCACTGTATTACACAATTTCCAGAAGGGGGTGGTGGAATTCATGTTGCAGTCTGTGAAAATGGTGCCCAGAACTGTGTAGCATACAGTCTGACCAATCATTTAAAGCAGCCCTGGCCGAGAGCTTGGCCAAGTTTGTCCATGGCTCCCAGAGACAAGGTGATGAGAGCATGTGTACCTTTGTAGGCATATGTGTGTGTGTGCACACTAGCATATCTGATGCCCTTATGTCCATGATCCCTTTATACAGCCATCTTTGGATCTCATTGTGTCCAGAAGATAAGCCTCAATGGATCATTTTGTGGGAGTAACTCAACAGACTGGTATTGGACCTACTGGTGTCCTTCCATTCAGATATGACAAAGTGCCATAATTCCTGTCCTTGAAAATCAGTCAAACAGCACTGGAGTTGGCTGGACAAGGTGAAAATGACTGTATCAAGTGAATTATAGGGGCTCTGTCCAGAGTGATTTCTGATTTGAAGCAACTGTCTAGAACTGGACTTCCCAAACTTGGTTGCCTATGAAATGCTCTGTGACAAAAATCTAAACTATAACAAGATTCCTAGGTCATTCCAATTTATATCTATTAACTGATACTGTGGAATAATCCATCCATCTAGGAGATGACATAGAGCTATTCGTGGTAAACATTAGGTCTCCATTGTGTCATGCATTGTTCTTGGGAGCCTTTAATTAATGTTTGGAAATCTCAGATCCAATCAGCCCATAATTAGATTTGCTCAAGACTGTCTTGATTGAGAATGAGTGAGGAAATGTACAGGAAATAGTGGGACACAGAGGGTAACAGGACTCCAGGTCAGCCAGAACAAGCTCGCCTGGGTCAGGTCCAGATCTACAGAGATAGCAATTCAATGTACCTACACTGGGAATAGTCCAAGCTTCTCTACAACAGCAAGATAATAGTTACTTTTTGTTTTCTCATGTGTTTGGATACAGCCAAGTTAGTGACAAGGCTTATTAGATTGATAAATCCTGGTGAAGCACAGGGGACCATTGCATGCACTAGTAAAAATAGCTTTGTTGGAATGACCACCTTCCCTTCCTACTTTTTCTTCCTTCTCATTTCTTTAACATTAAATAAATACTGATAGAAGGGAGTAAAATTACATGAGAGGGAAAGGGAATCCTTCAGTGTTCTAAGGAGCTTTCCATTAGGGAGGAGAAAAGGCCTAGAGACAGATAAAAGGAAAGGCCAAAATGTCTTAAGACCATCAAATCTTTTTTTTTCCAACTTCTATTTGTTCATATAAGTACACACACAAACACACATAGTGACATTTATCCAGGAGAAATAAGTTGAAAATGAATATTAAGAGAAAAGATATCAGAGAGGAGACAACTACAATGTAAACCATTTCTAAATAAGAGGTTAGAGTAGGGGCAGCCCCTGTGGTGCAGCAGTTTAGCTCCGCCTGCAGCCTGGGGTGTGATCCTGGAGACCCAGGATCGAGTCCCACGTCAGGCTCCCTGCATGGAGCCTGCTTCTCCCTCTGCCTGTGTCTCTGCCTCTCTCTCTCTCTCTGAATAAATAAATAAATAAATCTTAAAAAAAAAAGAGGTTAGAGTAGTTAACCCTAGTGCACTTCTTCTGGAATTGAATAGAAGGGCTGGGGAAAGAATAACTATTCAACTTTTATAGATACTTTTAGCATCAGCTGTTGAGGCCCTCTTTCTTATCAGCTCCCACTCCTCCCCCAAGTTTGCTTCCAGAGTCATAGTTAAGCATATTTACCCTGCAAACATCTGGCCTGGTTCTGTGGCCATTACCACACCACCAGGCCCAGGGAGGAGCTAAGGGAAGCTCAAGCAATCAGAGAAACCAGGAGTATCACCCTGCATCTCATTTGCCTCTGTTTTCTATGTTGAAACTATGAAAAGGACAGGACCCAGTGAATTCATGCCTGAGGTGATTTTTCCAGAGCCAAATTAACTGTCAGGGAGAGAATTTTATGCCAAGTAGCCCTAGAGCTGAACACTATTCTCTTACCTGAAACAATGACAGAGTCTTAGAGACCCTCCCTCACTTCTCCCTTCTCCTGCCACCCCCACATTTGGAAAAGAATTAAGAACATTGTATGTATTGGTAACACTCTAGCTTTCTGAAATATTATGTTGTTTTCCTTTTCTATGATTTTTTCCCTTTCTGTCGGAATCTAGCATAACTTGTCATCTTTTCACATTTCCACAGTGGACAGTCTAAGTGTGTTTCAGAGCAGAGACCTCCTAATTGCAGGAGAATTGAGAGTCCTAAACAGGGAGGTGCTCTAAGAACCGTAAATTCTCTAAACCCTGTTATCATGTGAGTTCATACTGAGATGGTCCACCTCAGAGATAGCTAAAACCTCAACAATGAATGTTATTATCTCCTATCTCAGCAGGGCTAGTCCACTGGAGTGCTCATTGGAGTCTGCATTCTGAACTGCTCATGTCATACCCCATGAAGGAGAGCCACAGACATTCTGAGCCTCCCAGTCTGGTTACTCTTTAGAAAAGCACTCCCTAATCAAATGTAATAGAGGGATCTATAGTACCCCTCCAGTGCTTGCAGGAAGGAGGGTGGTATGAGGTATTTTTACTGTTGCAATATCATATCAATTAGGTGAGGTATTAATCCCAATCACTTGAGTAACCGATTTTCACCTAATAGATGCAGCATCTGATTTTAGTGGGTATAAATATTTAATAGAGCCTTTAGAGAATCAGGTAACAGTGATGTCATCATTGAGGAACTCAGATTTGAAAAGCAATCCCACAATGTGATGTCTGTGTTAAGATTGTTTTGCCTTTCTTTGATTCAATTATTTCTTCCCTCATGCAATGCTCATTTATTAAGCACCTACCACAAGCCAACCACTTACAAGATTCTGGAGTTAAATGATTGACAAAGACTTGACTAATGCCCTTGAAAATCCATAGTACATGGAGGAACAGAGTCAGAAAAACAGATAATTGCAATGCAACAGAAACCCCTGTCCCAGAGGAAAATTTATGTGTCGAATTAACTTCTCATTTGATATCCGAAAGTATAGCACATGCCAGTGGAAATATAATTAAGAGTAATATAAACTAAACGTTAGCCTGAACTGAGTGTTCAGAAAAGGCTACACACAGAGGTATATAAAATCCAGAGCCACAGAGAGAATGCTCTGTTTCCAGCTAGTTTCATAGTGATAGGACTGCTGCAGTAGTCCTCTTCATTTCTCCCTAGAGTCAATTTCAGATTAATGTTCTAACTTACATGTAGAGATGTTCTAAAGCAGGTAACAATAGCAGTTAATGCCATTGCTGTTATTACTATGCATCAAACACTAGCGGTCCTTTCCCATTGGTTATGCACTAAATTCTCCTAAGAATTATCTTTCCGTGATACAAATAAGGAAAATGAAGCTCAGGAATATTAAATAACCTACACAGTAGAGTGATTTAGTGAAAATTCTGAAATCAAAGACCTTAAAACCTGGTTTCAGCACTAGCCAGTGTGACCTTGAGGTGCCATTTTACCTCTTTAATCTCCATTGTCTATAAAATGAGCATAATAATACAGCATTTCCCTTAGTATATGATGCTGTGAAAATTAAGTAAGATCGTGCAAGTACAGCATTTAGCAAGCATTCAATAGATATTTAGTATTACAGTTACCCAAGGCTACTCAGCTTAGAAAGTTTTTTTTTTTTTTTTTTTTTTTTGATCTTCTCTTCCACTCTCCTCTTGCCATCAATGGTTGTTTTCTCAACAATCAATCCTGGAAAAGTAAATAAAATAAAATCTAATAATATCAATGAAATTAATTCAATGACAATTTTTCTGCTTTAAAATTCAT